AAATATTTTTGAATCATTCTTATTAAATTTGATTTCTCAAAAGTCATTTTCTCTTATTCTTAAAGATATATAAATCAATTAATAGTGTACAGTATTGAATGTACATTGCATTTTGTTCAAAGCAAGAAATATAAAGTTTGCATTGCATAAACTAAACAAACTACTGTACAGAAATAGACTGCTGTACAGTACAGCCCACTGAACATTCAAAATAACATTGCACATTGTATAGGGTACACTTTTAGGGGTCTAATATCCTTATAATGTATTCCTATGCAGTATATGTGTCTTGTAAATTTTAATTAGAAGGACTGCAGTACTAACAGAGAGACAGTTCAACTAAAAATAGATGAGAAAATTTTTATACTTCTTCGCTCATATTCATATATATATCTGTTTACAATCCCTGGCCATACGGCTCGACCAAATTGGCTGTCAAGTTTTTAGTGGGAACCTATCATACAGCTAAGGATGGATCGTTTTCTCTCCCCCTCTTATCAGTTTTGTACATGACCACTTATTTTTCAGCAAAATTATTATTATTTTTTTATTATTTTAGGGTTTGGTTATTCTGGGCCGAACACCGCGGCTAGGACAGACTAGGGGGCCGAGCGCGCGGCGAGGACAGGCTAGGGGGCCGGGCGCTGCGGCCACATAATTAATTATATCCATGTTTTACATATAAGATCCTTGTACAAAATTGATAGGAGGGGGGAGGGGTCCAAAAGTCGTATGATGGGAAATTACCATATAAAAACTACTAAGAAAGACGATTGCCACCGATTAAACGATATTATTTAATTATTTAAGGAAGATAAGATTGTAAATTTAATGAAAAATAGAATTTGTAAGTAGAATTTAGTTTAGCTCGTCGTTTCGATAACGAAGGTAGGTAATTTTTAAGTTTTGACAATCGTTAACAATGACCCTTCGTTAACGATTGTTTTCGACCACCCTTTGTTAACGATCGTTAACAACATTTTTAAGACAAAAAGCATTTTTTGTCAGAAAACCCTTAGAACATTCAGGTTATTTCTCTCGATAACAAAATAATTTGAGACAATATTCTGAAAGTTATCTTCCTGAAAAATCAAAATGAATTGTCATAAAACTCAGATTCATTACAGATAATTTTTCAAAAACGATCGTTTTGTAACAAAAAACGATCGTATCGTTTTTTCTTTGTTTTTTTAAAGTTCAAAACGAGTGGTTCGTTCGTTGTGACCCAACGAAAAAAGGAAACAAAAAACTATCGTTTTTTCGATCGTTTTTAAGACGATTAGCAAAAATTAGATTTTTTTTAAAAATTAAATTAAACTTTTTCAAATTCTATTTTTTAAATCAATTTTTTTTTTTTTTAGCAAGTTCTACATATATCTATGCGTAATCTGTAAAATAAAATATTATGTTCAAGATTTTTGGTATAAAACTTAAACTAATAAAGGGCTTTAAAAATCAAATGTTCGTTTCAAGTCTACCCTTCGTAAACGATAAATGACAACCTTTTTTTTAGACAAAATACATATTTAATTAAAATCTTTAATATTTCGAGAAAATGTATATTTATAATAACATGTCATTAAACGTTGTCTTACAAAAATCTTTTCTAAGTTTATCAATTGTTAACCCTGGAGTTTCCTACGGTAAGGTTGGATTTTCTCCGGACCGAAGGACGAATTGAAGGTTTAATTTAACTCCAGGTTCAGCGAAAGTACTAAACCAGTATTTCCTGGAATACTCAGTCAACTAACATGAAACTTACATTGAAAAAGAATAGAACAGAATAGAATAGGGTTGGATAGAATAGGATAGAATAGGATAGAACAGGATAGGTTAGGATAGATTAGGATAGAATAGGATAGAATAGGATATAATAGGATAGAATAGGATAGAATAGGATATAATAGGATAGAATAGGATAGAATAGGATAGAATAGGATAGAATAGGATCGAATAGGATAGAATAGGATAGAATAGGATAGAATAGGATAGGATAGAATAGAAACGAATAGGACAGAATATAATAGACCAGAATAGACTAGAATAGACTAGAATAGACTAGAATAGACTAGAATAGACAAGAATAGACAAAATATAAAGTGTGCAAGAAATGATGGTGGATTGTAGTCAATTTAAGCTGTCACGAGAGTTAGCATAAATTGAAACAAATTTAATCCATCTTTTTTCACTTTTTATCACGTCCACATGTTTTCAAGTTATGTTTTATTAAACTACATTTCATGTTTTACATGCTTATTTTAATTCAAATGCACAAACACTGCAAATACTTCAAGGCTATTAAGATGTGTTAAAACTATTTACTCTGGTTACATAATTCAAGAATATACCCCGATATTAGGCGGTGTCAAAGAAACTTAATGTCTTTTTTCTAATTGTTATATCATTTCAACCTAATTTCGTTGACCTAGTTCTGTTAAATAAAACAGTTTACACCCTCATATTGCAAAGATAGGTGAATTAGAAAAGATAATAATGCCCGATTCATAACGAGCTGTGTCTGTTTTATAATGAATTAGATATAATTATAAGGAAAGATAATCACTTACAAAAGAAAAGGTAAAACTAAAGTTTTACTCTTAACTTTTGTCACAAACTCATATTTTCTAATTCCTATATTTTTACCACCTGATAGTGAATAAAACTTTTAAACGTAGTTTTTGGAATATCTAACATTGAGTTGCAAGGGTATTGGGATAAGAAATCAGAGTTAGTGGCAAAGACTCAATTCGTTAGCTATAGAAAACCAATCAAAAGTTTCTGAAAGATAAAAATTGGTATAAAGTGTGGCGCCAGTAAATTTGAAACAATGTTACCCACAAAGGAGACGACAGAACTGAACTGTTTCCTTATATTTTTGTTTCCTACAACTGTAAACATGTTTAGTTCTTTATCAAAATATAGAAAAAACCGTATTCAAGGCAGAAGGCTTAATTCAACCTTAGAATCGTCATATTTTAGTTTTTTTTTGTCGATTTACATTTTCATCCTTTGTGGGTAACTAGGGCAACTTTTTCTAGCCATTTCATTAACGGTTAGTTCCAACTATTAAAGAAGAAAATTTTCAGGTAGCCGTTAATTTTAAAGGTAAGAACGGAACGTTGGTTTCGTTAACTGCATTAATGAATTTTATTTTACTAACAAAGTTAATGGAAAAATTTCTACAATCGCTAACGGCTCCAGTCGTTAACAGCCTATTACATTATTAACAGCTAAAAAAATCGTAAACGGATGAAGAAAACGTTAACGGCGCAGCCCTTAACAGTCTATTATACAGTATTGACGGCGCAAGGTGGCGAATTAATGTTCGTTAATGGTTATGAAATCGTTAACGGTGTTGCCTTTAGTGGTATTTTGTAGTATTAACGGCGTTAGCGGTTTGTCAAACTTCACTAGCAGTTGAACTATATTTCACAGCTGGACAAATTCCAAATTTGTTTTTATCAATATCAAAAGCTGCTACCACGATTTTTCTCAGCATTTAAGGTTGTGAACACAGAAGAAGGCATTTAAAAACATCAAAACACAAAAATAAAATTCATATACGTCTAATGAAATTTTAAACAGAAAAAAAAATTCACCGTATAAAAAAAATCCGTTCCGTTTTCGTTTTCAACCGTTAGTTTTTTTCAAAAACAGCTCATCCATTTGGTTAACAGTTTAAAACTTAAGAATTTTTTCTGTTCGTTAACGGACTCTTTCGTTAATTATCGAAAACCTGAGTTCCGTTAACGGCAGTTTGCCCAGCTCTATTGGTAAGCCTGTATCTGAATTCTGAATATGAATGAATGAAAAATTTGAATGAGAAGTTTTTGCATAAAATCTTGCTCTGTCATCATTTAGTGTATATACATTGTATGCAGCTAAGCATGCACTGATTTTACCATTGTGCAAAAAATATTTGAATTTCATGACGTTATTTACTTTTTAGTTTCTAGTTATGAAAACACAAACCAAGCAAGCATATACCAGACAACATAATCATCTATACAGGAACATGCAAACTCTATTTGTCAAATATGGCATAAATGTTGTACTTTTAATAAATTATTGAAATATAGGACGTAACCAATTATATTACAGTACGAGGATATGACCAGTTGGATCCAGTAATCACAATATTCTCAGTAATCACAGTATTCTTAGTAATCACAGTATTCTCAGCAATCAGGAAAGAAATGAAAATAGAAGGGGAAGGATAGAAAGATATAGAAATGGGAGGAGAAGGTGGAAAGATATGGAAATGGAAGGAGATGGATAGATAATGAAAGGAGAAGGTGGAAAGATATGGAAATGGAAGGAGATGGTTAGAGAATGGAAGGAGAAGGTGGAAAGATATGGAAATGGAAGGAGATGGTTAGAGAATGGAAGGAGAAGGTGGAAAGATATGGAAATGGAAGGAGAAGGATGGAACCATATGGAAATAGAAGAGGAAAGGTCGAAAAATATGGAAATGGAAGAAGAAGTATGAACAAATATGGAAATGGAAGAAGAAGTATGGAAAAATATGGAAATGGAAGAAGAAGTATGGAAAAATATGGAAATGGAAGGAGAATGATGGACAAATATGGTAATGAAAGGAGAAAGGTAGAAAAATATGGAAATGAAAGGGGAAAGGTAGAAAAACATGGAAATGGAAGGAAAGGGATGGAAAAATATGGAAATGGAAGGAGAAAGATTGAAAGATATGGAAATGGAAGGAGAAGCATGGAAAAATACGGAAATGTAAGAAGAAGTATGGAAAAATATGAAATAAAAGGGGAAAGGTAGAAAAATATGGATATGGAAGGAAACGGATGGAAAATTTGGAAAAGGAAGGAAACGGATGGAAAAATATGGAAATGGAAGGAGAAGGATGTCAAAAATTACAAAAAATATAAACATGAAAGATTTAAAGTTAGTAAAGTTCGTGACACAACGAGGGTGGATGAGTGTCGTATTGATAAAAACTTGAAGTCTATGTTTATGGGTTGTAATAAACATCAAAGTGCTTGTTCAGTAATCACAATATTATCAGTTATCACAGTATTCTCAGTAATCTCAATATTATCAGTAATCACAGTATTCTCAGTAATCACAATATTATCAGTAATAACAGTATTCTCAGTAATCACAATATTATCAGTTATCACAGTATTCTCAGTAATAACAGTATTCTCAGTAATCACAGTATTCTCAGTAATCACAGTATTCTCAGTAATCACAGTATTCTCAGTAATCACAGTATTCTCAGCAATTACAGTATTCTCAGTAATCACAATATTATCAGTTATCACAGTATTCTTAGTAATCACAGTTTTCTCAGTAATAACAGTATTCTCAGTAATCACAGTATTCTCAGTAATCACAATATTATCAGTAATCACAGCATTCTCAGTAATCCCAGTTTTCTCAGCAATCACAGTATTCTCAGTAATCACAATATTATCAGTAATCACAATATTATCAGTAATCACAATATTATCAGTAATCACAGTATTCTCAGTAATCACAGTTTTCTCAGCAATTACAGTATTCTCAGTAATCACAGTATTCTCAGTAATCACAATATTCTCAGTAATCACAGTATTCTTAGTAATCACAGTATTCTCAGGTATCACAGTATTCTCAGAAATCACAGTATTCTCAGAAATCACAGTATTCTTAGTAATCACAGTATTCTCAGTAATCACAATATTATCATTAATCACAGCATTCTCAGTAATCACAGTTTTCTCAGCAATCACAGTATTCTCAGTAATCACAATATTATCAGTAATCACAGCATTCTCAGTAATCACAGTTTTCTCAGCAATCACAGTATTCTCAGTAATCACAATATTATCAGTTATCACAGTATTCTCAGTAATCTCAATATTTCTCAGCAATCACAGTATTCTCAGTAATCACAATATTATCAGTAATCACAGCATTCTCAGTAATCACAGTTTTCTCAGCAATCACAGTATTCTTAGTAATCACAGTATTCTCAGTAATCAGAATATTATCAGTTATCACAGTATTCTTGGGAATCACACAATTCTGTTAATGCCACACTTTGCTGCATTTCCTTGTTATCCAATTTCTTTTGGTTCTTCTAGTTCTCCTAATTCTCTTGGTTCTCCAGGTCATCCCAGTTCTCCTGGTTCTCCTAATTCTCCCGGTTCTCCTGGTCTTTTGATTATTTTGGTTCTCTTAGTTTACCTGCTTCTACTGGTTATCCTGGTTCTCCTGGTTCTCATAGGGTCTCTTAGGTCTCCAAGTTTTCTTGGTTACCAAATTTCTTAAGTTTTCCTAGTTTTCCTGGTTCTCCTAGTTCTGCTGGATCTCCTAGATCTCCTAGTTCTCCTAGTACTTCTAGTTCTTCTAGATCTCATAGTTCTCCTAGTTCTCCTGATTCTCCTAGTACTCCTAGTTCTCCAAGTTCTCCTGGTTCTCAGGGTTCTTCTTTATCTTCTAGTTCTTCTAGTTCTCCTAGTTCTTCTTGTTCACCTGTATGTATGTATGTATGCAGACGGAAAAAAAATAAAATGTAATTCAATTTTCCTAACTCTGATTCATGAGAGCTAACTGTGTGAAATAGAACAAGAAGAAAATTTCTCACCAAAAGGAAGTAATTTTTTGTTTGGCTTAAGCAGACCAAATTTGCAAGATTCGGGAGGGTTGCTTGTATGAGATTGGTAAGGCAAATGTGTGTGCCTGCAATTGCTTAATGAATTTAATTAACTGCTGACTGAAAACTGGACAATTGATTAATTTGATAAATTAATATAATATTATTCTAGGCAACAGTCAGTTATACCTTGATTTTTAAACCACATTTAGAGGTAGGTGATTGTATTTATTCAAGTTTGATTGTTGACAATCTTATTTCAAATTACAAGTGTAAATGTAATCAATGAAAAGTTTTTTTAATTGATAGCTTCTCTTGACTTCTATTGTAACCAACATGAGCTCAGTAGCTCGGAGTAGGGACAGCTCCATTGATTTAACCCCTTCAGTTCTCATAAAGACCCAGAGCTAGGCTCAGATTGCCTGTTCGGCCTGTAAGCATAATCTCATTACCTCATTGTATACAGCAAAAGGTCTGATGAGACATAGGGTGGAATGAACCACCTCATGTATAGATATATTCAAGATATTTTGTCCATTGGAAAGGCGCCCCTCTAGAAATCATGCACGAACTAGTTAAAGCCAAGCCAATATTGACCTTACATTCTATTTTTAACCAAGGCCAATGATCTAGCTCCACGAGGTAGCATGAGTAGGATAGGCTAGGCTAAAGCCAAGAAGATCGGTAGTATCAACAAACAATCAAAGAAGGAAGGCTGATCTCCCATATGTGGCGGAAATAAGGCTGCAATCCCTAATGCTTCAGGATATTTCTATAAGTGTAGTATCGAATATTATCTGTTTTTGTATGCTGTAAATGCATTTTTTCTTGCAATTTGTGGACTCATTTTCAGTCATGTTTATGTGTATCGATGCTGTTTAACAGCTTGATTTAAATCAACATGAAAATCTAAAGTCTTTTCATTTATTGATATAATCACCTACCACTGTAGATAAATATAACGCACTATAGTGTATACATCTTTGACGCCAAATAAAAAAATAACAAAAAGATTAATCAAATTATCAGTGCAATAACTTTAGTATAAAAATAGAATTAATTCATAATTTAGATTATCCCACCAAACATTTGTACCGGTGTCAGACATTAATCAGTGCTTCAACACAGAGCTAGCTGCTTTGTTGTGTTTAGGGTTGGAACGAAAACAAGTAGTTTGTTTTAAAAAATTATTGATTTCAAAAATATCATTAAAAAACATAGAAATTGTTTTTATGTTTAGTTTGTTGTTATGTTAAAGAAAGTACTTTTGATCATTGTTAACGATTGGAAACAACAGCCCTTCATTAAAGGGTGTTATAGTCCATTAATGATGACTCTCCAATATAATTCATCATTGATAATCTGTATTTGAATGTCAAAAATTTATTTGTTTTTAAAAACAATCAAATTGTCGTTTGTTTTACGTTTTCAAAATTCAAAATAAATGGTTTGTTTGTTTTTAGAAATAAACATGAAATGAAAAACAATTAACAAAATGAAACAGTTAACAACACTTAGTTTTAAATCCCAGTCACAAGTAAAAGCAGTCAAATATGGCATAAATGTTGTACTTTTAATAAATTATTGAAATATAGGACGTAACCAATTATATTACAGTACGAGGATATGACCAGTTGGATCAAAGGAATTGAGTTTTTGCCACAAATTAAAATCTTCTGATTCCAATATCTTTGGAATCTGATGGTGCAAACCTTTGATATTTCAAACTTAGATTATTTTATCTGTACGTATTAATAGTTTGAAATATCTAAGGTCTACGACATTGGGTCACAAAGATATAGAGATTAGAAAATCAGAGATTGTGGCAAAAACTCAACTCCTTTAGCACAGCAACTTACCCTAAATTAATGGTTAAATAATTGTAAAATTTTTTTTAATGAGAGAAGACGACATTAAATTAGTTTTATGAGTCCGTTTTTTTGAGACATTTCCGTGTTGAGGCGTTTCCATGTCACCGCATTTCTTACCCTTGACTTTTCTAGTTGAGAGCAAAGAGCCTAGATCTTGACCACATAAAGTAACTGAGTTTTTGTCACAAACTCTACTTTTATAATCTCTATATCTTTGCTACCCAATGTCGTAGACCTTCGATATTTCAAACTATGAATTATGATAGACCAAATAATCTAAGTTTGAAATATGTAAGGTTTACATCATTAGATTTTAAAGATATATGGATTAGACAATTTGAGTTTATGACCAAAAATTCAGTTCCTGTGTTGAACAAAATGTGCTGGGTCGACTTTACAATGGGTCAGGGTATGAATGTATGTATTGTATATACTTTTACCAGTAAATTGTTGTACCAGTTTGGAATGGATCATATGTATCAATTGGATCACACCATGCTATCAATGAAAACATTACTTGCAATATGTCAGTTAAATAATTCTGAAACTGTAGCAAATGTCAAAGTTTGACATTGACCTGTTGCATGTATTGTATAGTGTGTCAACCAAGCGTGAAGATGTAATTCAATGTTAATATCAATTTGCTATTATCAGTTAGACTAAAGCTGGGACACTAATTTAGTTGTTTTAAATTTGTTAAAATTCTACATTCTACACATATAAGGCTGCCTGAAAAAAATCTTTTATCTTTTTATGTGGAAATAATCTTTTATTATCAATATTGTATATGAGCAAAATTTGAAAATAAAAGCATTTTTACTTCACTAACTTTCTTCTTTAAAAATAGCATCCTCTAATACAAGAGCAATCTCAAATTTCCTCTGAAAGTATAAAGAAGCCTTTTTTGCTTCTGTAATCAGTCTAGTAGAACCAGAGGTTGGGGCATCATGAAAATGCTCGCACTAACATTGTTGAAAATATTGTGTATAATAGTATATACTGGTCTTCTGGTTCTAGTACCTGATATGCCCAACATCTATACTTTCATCATTAACTGTTTGGGGTTACTCTTAACCCTACCAACATCAGCACTATTACTTAGCTTTTTAAACTCTAGACCACCCGCTAATAAAAACTTAATCAATAGGATCCTGGCACTTTTGATCCTCATTCTAGGCCTTGCGGCAATCAGAAGCTGGTTTATGTCTTTCATGGCCTGCTTCTGGAATCCACAAATTAGGCAGATGGTTGCAATGTACCCTGCTATTAGTGTTGGGTTATTCTCAATCAGAGTATCTGTAATATCAGTTATGGTAGCTGCCTGTGCTCTCACATGCGGAAGACTTTTATTGGTGACATATCCAGTTGTTTTCCACAAAATCAAACCATCGATCGGGGTTATACCTGCAGGAGCTCTGGTAATTATCTTAAATGTCCTTGATTACACATATACAACTATAATGTGCTATGAAAACAACAGATATACTAGTACAATGTATATCTTTAAAGTAGAAATGGGAATTATGGAATCCAAAGAACACAATGTAACACTACCATCTCCATCCTTTCCAGATGAAGAGCTTTGTCAAATAATCCCCTTCTTCAAGATGTTGGTGATATCTTTCGTACTATTGGAAACAGCAAGAGTGATTTTCATGATAGGAAAAGAGTATTTGAAAATGAGGAGGAGCATTTGCCAAGTGCAACCTACAGTGTTAAAACAAGTCAATGACAATCAGGCTAAGACCTTAAGTTCTAATTCAGCTCCTAGGAGACAACAGGTTTTGAGGCGCTCTGAATCCTTCCCTCCAAGGGATCAGCACAGGATTCTCTTGCCTTTCAAAAGACAACCATTACAAGACACAGCTCCTAATACTGTAGTAATGGACACTGTGGGGGTTCAGAATTATCCTAGTTTATCAGATAATAACAGGAGACAACAAATTTTGCACCACACTGAATCAATCCCTCTATCCGGCCAACACAGGATTCTCTTGCCTCACAGAAGGCAACCGGTACAAGATACAGATCTTAATTCTGTAGTAATGGACATTGTGGGGGTTCAGAATTCTCCTAATTTATCAGATAATAACAGGAGACAACAAATTTTGCACCACACTGAATCAATCCCTCTATCCGGCCAACACAGGATTCTCTTGCCTCACAGAAGGCAACCGGTACAAGATACAGATCTTAATTCTGTAGTAATGGACATTGTGGGGGTTCAGAATTCTCCTAATTCTTCAGATGATAACATAAGACAAAAAGTTTTACAACATACTGAAGCATTCCCTTCATGTGCCCAACACAGGATTCTCTCCCCTCACAGAAGGCTATCGGTTCAAGAAACTGTAGTAATGGACATTGCTGGGGATCAGAACCCTCCTAATCCCTCAAGGAATACTGGAAGAGCTGCTGAAAACATAGTGCTTGCAAAGGATGTTATCACTAAACAATGCATGAGAACTGCTAGTATTATAACAGCGTTTACTTTCGTTGGATTTTGTTTCAGCTTATTTAGAATTCAATGGAGTGCTGTGGCTTTACTAACAGTATTCAGACTAACAGTTTACAACCTAGTGATTTTGTTGGTTCTATTTGACAAAGATGTGTTATCCTATTCATTGAACATTTTGGGCCTGTGAGTAGATTAAACATTTCTAGCTGAAGTGCCTGGCGTTGCCTGTAAAACTTGAACCCACACACTTTGGAATATTTTTTTCGCTCATGTCACCCCAGGGTTCCATGGGTCTCCACT